CACGTTATGGCGTGTCTCTACCAAAGTTGTCAACATTTGTCAACACGTGTTGCCGACAAATGTTTCTGTAATCACCTAGTTTTAGCAACAAAACGAAACAATGTCGGGAATCGTTTTTCCATTTTCGGCGGCAACATCAAAGGAATACGCTTGTTGCCGACATTTGTTCCCTCGGTGGAGACGCTTCTTGCAACATTTTGAAACAAATGTCGTCAACTTTTGTTGATTTGTCAACAGTTGGAAACATAAATGTTGTTAACATTTTTGGTGGAGACGCGCCTTAAACTATACGTCAAATGTTTCAATGGTGATAAAAACCTCAAATTATTGTGTCCGCTTGGATACCTTAAGATACTATTTTGCTGCCTTAAGCTGTAGTATTCCAAAATCTTCACAATGTGATGCATCAACATATTTTACATACATTTTATTATTACATTATTCTTTATATAGATAATTTCTAATTACTCAACAATGGCAAAAGTATTAATCTGTGCGAGTACATATTCAAAAATAGAACGTTAAAGGCATTATTAAAAATAACGATCTGTACAGCAACTTACTTAAGCATATGTATGAATCAGACTCTTGGCCTATGATGTATGATGTAAAAAAAATGTTTAAAAGCAGCAATTACTTACATCGATCACAAAACATTGTATAACCAAGGAAATCGGATCACTTGTGCTAATATTACTCTAATCTTTTTTTTTCTCTATATACTATACGAGATAAAAGCAATATTAAATTGTTTCGCTGCTAGGTTGATAGGAGGTACGATTTTTCTTATTACAATAGACTAATGGTAACAAACAAGCACACAGTTCACCTGATGGTAAGTGAATGCCGATAGACATCTACATCTGTCCTAAATTAAGAATTAAAATGCAGTATGCGTTGTGACACCTGAGGTTATATGGTGGAAACCACGTTTCCAGTAAAAAGGGTCTCCGGTTATCTAGGCTCACCATACAAAATATTGCAGCATCAAACTTCTATTTCACTCTGGTATTATCTGAGAGCGTGATTCTTCCCGAGTTGATCCAATCCATGCGTGCTACACCACCATAATAAAGCTGCAGCGTGGCTCTACCACGTTTAACGTCACGTTAACTAATCGACTCGTGGGCCTCTGATAGTTCAGTATAACGATAACTTATATGTTATATGTAAAATGTCTGAACTGGCGACAAGAAACATTGTGTTAATTAAGTGCGTAACTTAGACGTATAAGTTTAAAATCGCCAATTCAAATATGTTAGGATAGGTCCATGTACCGCATAAAACTGTTAAATACGGTTTATCAAAGTCTACTGATGAAGTAGATTGCATCATAAGACGTATAATTATCATAGTTGCTACACTTGGTTGACTGGTTAGCAATCGCAGTTTTTTTTTTAATTTCCTTGCTGTTATTAAAAAGCTGCTGCCCATCTTCTGTTTTGTTTCCATCTGTCACCTCTTACGATATCCACTCGACGATATGGGTTAAATATATTCACCACCACCACTACACAGTTAAAAACTATCGTCGTATCGTATCTCGTTCATATTCCTTAAAATAATAAAATATCGGATAATTATTCCAACATTTACATGCAGCGAATCTGATTCTGTCCCTATACGAGAAACCAGAAATTTAAAATAAACTTAGTATACTCCAACTTTGTGTCGATTTTTCCAATTTAATTTATTGGCCAATTGCAAGAGAAGTAGGTTTTATTTTAAAAGTGTGCTTCTCACAAACACTCTATACACAGACTCAGGCACAGGCATCTTTTTTTTATAGCATAAGTGTAAAAAACGAGTGCACTGTTTACCTGATGGTAAGTGGATGCTGTGGCCTATAGACGTCATGACAAAATGCTGATGTGTTGTCACCCTCACCTACAATCCTCAGTAGAGCATTAAGCTGCTATTTTCGCTGGTCTGTGAGAGCGGTTGAGCCGACCAAATGCATCGCATCGTCTTAAAAAATATATTTTTCTGTTCAGTTTCAAACATTCAAGTTTCCTCACAACGTTTACCTTCACTGCCGAGCACGTGGAAAATCGACACTTAAAATTGCAAGTAACACGTTAAAATAACAGTAGAGACTATGAACGATGCCGTATATTGTGCAGGTTGTCAACTTCTGATAAGTCCGTGCTCTATGACGCTGAGTCTTCCTTAGTGGTTGGATAAAGTTTTATTTTTATTTTAGTTTTTTTAACACATCAATTAATTGCGCAATATGATCACGAAGACATTGGACTTACCGTTACTAAAGTTTGCATTCATGCAGCCCTAATAGCGTGTAAGGGTTGATTAAAGTCAGCCCGCCTAGTCCACCAGCGGTGTCTAAAATCTTAACTGTGAATATGCTAATTCATTGATTTTTTCTTATAAAGTCATTTCGTAGTACACTTAGTAACTAAAGGACCTTACATGGTTGCATTTAAAAGTACCGGGGCAGGTCAATCAGTTTCAATTTCATCTTTTAATAAATAATTGAAAATTAGTAATAAGAAACGAAATAAGAAAAGCAAGTGGTTTAGTAATGCATTAAATTTTTTTTAACATTTGCTTAACTCTTGGTTTTTATGATTATAATAAGGAGAGAGTCCGTTATACTGTTTCAGAGTGCATTGAATTTATTTATGTCGTAGAAATATTTTAAATGGTTATTTGTTTAATTAATGAATTTTACAAGAAACATCTAAACCTACTTTGAATACAATTTAGCTCTGCGCATATCTGAAATTGTGAAATGTACAAATATAATACATATTTGTTCAATTATTTTTTTAAAACATTGCATTAATGCTGCAAGCGTTAAAATTAAAAACTTATTTGATGCACTATGGTCGCTAACTCAAAAGCGCTTTCTTTGAAACAACCTTTTTGAAATAATTAAAACGGAAAGTTTCACCCGACTTCGAAACGGCCCGGCGCTACCAACACGCTGTTAATCGGTTAGCGGGACGGGCCAATTTAATCCCGGAAGCTTCTAGTTAAGGGTAGGTGACGTCACAAGGTGACTGGCACGAGGAGGTATTTCAACAATAAATAAATAAAAAACTGATAATTAAGCTTCTAAATTGTTACATAAATATTTCGACAAAGCTTTAAGTACTTTACGTGGTAGAGCCATGCTGCAACTATATTATGGTGTTCCGTATGGTGAGTGTAGAGAAACGGAAACCCTTTCTTACTGGAAACGAGGCATTCTATGTTAGTCCTCACGGGTGTCAACGCATCTGCATTTTGATTCTTAATCAAGGATAGATATATGTATGTCTATGGGCCGCAGCATTCTTTTACCATCATGTGGACTGTATGCTCGCTTGTGTTTAAAAAAAGTTGTGGTGCAAATCGTGTGACACAAATATTATTAGGTAATAGAAATTAACTTGTTTTGAAAGCGTGTGTACGCTTTCTATGGATACCGATCGATAAATGGCATTAGAACCCTACCTACCATAGCTGTTACTGTTAATTTTCTTTTTTCAAGGACTAATTAATGCTTAGCTTTAGATTGACGATACATACACAATTTGTCCAGCGAATTATCAATAATTTTATTTCTTTATTAAGAATTAGGTATTTAGTTTGAATAGCTAATTTAAAAGATTTCTCTGCCTGTTTAAATGTCTATATATGAATAAACATTGAAGTATTAATAGCATATATACAACATTTACTATATCCAACATACATTTCCTTGTACGTATAATTGTTTTATTACCATTGATAGGTGTCAAGGAATGTTGGTGTTATAAAAAATTGTGAACGCTTTATTGCAATCGACAATATTTTGCAGTATTGTCATCAAACATTAACGTCGTCAGTACTATACATGTATATTGTAGATATATAGTACAAATATAAATATAAGCGATACACCTGTTGTCTTTAAGAGGGTAGGTAGAGTCCAAAAACCATTTGAACCATGTTTTGCCTTAAAAATATGTGTATAGATGGATAATTGTAAAAGAAGTGATCGGTGGCCAGCCCATCGTCTACACAATCATAAACCTAATATCTTATTAGCCGCCATACATGATATGCTAGGCAAGTAGGAACACAGTTGGTACATTATTTTTATTACATGTCTCACATAAACATACGATCTATAAGTCCCAGTCTATGGGGCTACATGAGACCTATTTTAATAAATATTAATATACAAATAACTACCATAAAATGTGACCAAAGCAACAGCTGTCGCTTACATAGTGTTCGTACAAGTCATGTAATGGCAATTTATGCTATACTAGTTAGCTAATATTATTTACAGTTTGCTTTTAAATAAAAAAATGATCAAACGCCTTACAAATATTTCATAGTGGATATTTAATAGTAGATATAAGATATACTAGTTCATTATTTTTGGATAAACTTTTTTCATAATTGTAAAACATACCAGCTGTTATTTTTTGTAAGTTTTTTAAGCGCACATGTAAAATTAAGCATTCCCTATCCAATTCTAATTATTTACGCCAAATGTATTTTTAAAAGATTTTTCATCACTCAATATATTGGACCCATAGAATACGTAATAATTCTATGATTGGGCCGGTTTGTGAGCGTTAGATATATGTAGTTCAACAAATGCGTTAAAATCCACTCATTTAATATAGAAATAATAATAATAAGCCTTTTTTATTTCCTTAACTTATTTACTATTTTAAGAAGAATAAATGTTGTGTACAGTTCTCCTCTTTTCTTTGAAATTATATTTGAAAGAAAAGTTTTTTTTTTTTTAGAAAAAGATAAAACAAAACTAAAAAGTGCATTATAATGTTACATTCGAACGTAACTGTAATAAAATTGTTCAAAACATTTGGTTACACGGTGATGAAATTTAAAAAATATCATAATAATCTATGACATCCTATATAATTAGACACCCGATCTATTACAAAACAAAAAATATTGTTTTACACGCACACACAATAATCACACACTTAATAATTAATTGCATTAAACAAATGGGAAAAAATGTAAACAAAACTTACTATCGCTAGTATTCGCATTGCCGTCGGCTTTGTGTTCTGTATCAATGGCGCCAACTAAGTTCCTTATGGTAAACGAACTAGTCTTCCTGGGAGGCGCTGGCACTTCAGCCGTTACCCCGGTCACCTCACATCCTTGTGTTCCGTTCACTAGTTCACGACACACCGGCTCAGTCCCATTTAAAGGTAAAACAGCCTCTCCTGGACCGCCTTCCTCACCGCGACGAGTGGTCAAGTCCATCTTTAAAACAAACTTCACCTATGCTTTTTAAATTACGAACAATGTTTCTGTTCAACCGTAACATTTTTTCATGCCACATCTGGATGCTTAATTAACCGCATATTATAAAACATTTTTCTAAGTCACTTGCGTCACTGGTCAGAATTAAAAAAAATAAATGTCTGTTAACTGACGGCTAACTGTTGAAAATTGATTTAAAAAAAACCAAAATTGTTTTTGGCCAGTATTTTCGCAGGATGAAAAAAATCACTCGCGAAAATTTGAATATCTTGAACCAAATTCTTTATAGCACTATAAGTCTTCAAAACAGTCCGAGACGCAAAAAGTACTGACAAAATAGTTCGTGAACTTGTGCAGTTTTAAGTTTGCGATAATTCGCAACGTCGCACCACAACGCGTGCTAACTCCGCGGTGGCGAACGCGACTGGTCCTCTTACCTCCTCCGTCGTCGCGTTCGCGTGGACCTCCCTACGCCTTGAGAGGCGGAGCGAACGCCCCTCGCGTACGCACCAATTACCCACAGTGGAAACCGCGCGACTTTTTAGTTGTCAATTACTCGATACGTGCGATTTTTTTCATCCAATCGATTTGCTCTAATGAGCTGTAATTGCATTTATCGATACCTTATTACGGTTACCGTTTAGGTTTCCGTTAACTCGGCCGTAGAAGCAATTTTCTTTCTTTTATAATTACCAAGGTGTTGCTTCTCCATTTTGAGAAAATTACAAACAAGTTTTGATTTATATATCCATTAACAATACAAATAAAACGCAAGCAGTAGCTGATGAACGGGAAAATGATGAAATTATTATAGTACATATATGAAAAAAAAATTATGCAATTTATTTAATAATAAATGCTAATTGACAATAATAGATTGGCCATATACACAAATATGATTAATGTATCGAATTGAACTGCCTATTAAACATGTTACATTTAATTACTTTGTGAACTATGTCTTATTGTAATATCGCCAATTGGTAATTTAAGTTATTAATATAACTTTGTAATAATAACCACAAATTATCTTTTCATAAAGTAACATACAAACAGTTGAAACAGAAGACAGATAGAGGAAATGCTGGTGATTATTTACTTACCTTTTGTCACAATTTAACCATACAAAATAAGATACCACGGCCTCAAGACCTTTGTAATATTGGCAAAGACTTACAGTCTGCGTAATAGGGTTGTCGTGATACCTTAAAAAATATTTCCTTATAAAATTTGCTACATGGAAAACCCGCTCTTGAAATTAAGTACATTAGAGTTAAACGCGTCACATCAGTTAAAAGCGACGATATTAATCTAAGTCAACGTGTCACGAGTCCAAAAAGATTTACCATTAAATTGTAAGTCAAAAAGAACTACAAACATATTTGGTATTCATTATTCATTTCAGTTTTTTCTTTATTGTGGCTCTTTAAGAATTTTTTTATTAGGCTTTTTTCTGTAACTTGACATGAACGAATTTTTAAATATTTAAATAAAAAAAATCATAAATAAATTGATTTTATAGGTTTTAAATTATTTCTAACTTGTTTTATTGAATAAATACTACCCACTGGTATTAAATGGTTGTTTTGTCACCTACGGTAGCCTACAACATTTTACAGGAGTTTGTCTATATATATAGGATTATCTGCGTGGATAGTCGCAAAAAGAAAAGAACTTTGTGATTAAATTTTGACATAACGCGAAGAAGAAGTCTCTTTATATTAATGAAGCCAACCAAAAATAAAATGCCTCATGGCATTCGTCCATATGACAAGATATTAGTTTATCATTTCGAAATTTGAAATATCCAAGCTTTGGTAACGCTGTCAGACGTGCGATGAGTCTATTACATGAAAAAGCGTAGCGTGGTGATTGCTTAAACCTTTGCAAACGATGCATATGTTTCATGTAAACTGTATTTATACTTTAACTCTATTAGAAAATTTCAATCAGACCTTGTTTTCACATGATTGCTTCAGGATTATGACCAGTTAGATTGATACGGTTAATAAGGTTATTTAACATTATATACACATAACACATATCAATCTTACTTAACATTTTACAACTCCTACCAAAAACTTTTTTTTTTAAAAACGTTACCATCACACTAGGATTTTCTACTGTATCGTGGAGGCAGTATACAAACACAAATTGCACAAGGACAAACATCCAGACCCGGAACAATTATTTGTAGGGCATACAAATACTTATTCCGTGCGGGATTCGAACCCGCGGCCCCCAGCGCAACTTATCAATAGAACCTTTAGAACTGAGACATAGCCTGTGACTACTTATAGTAATGTTTATATAAAAGTTCATAGTTTATTTAGACTAGCGACCCACTCTGGCTTTGCCTGCGTAGGATATATTAATGTGGCGTTATTTAGATTTAAAATAATCAAGGGCCATTTATTATAAGATTTTTCGTTTTATTCAACAAAATCTCCAAGGTTTTCGGATAAAATATAGCCTAGATCAATGAGGGCTAATAATCTTCCACTCACCAGATGTCGCTAGTTGTGACTGAGGCAAAGTTTTTTTGTTAGTGTCAGTTAATTGAGAAATTAGTTTTAAATCATAGTTTATTATTATCTAGAGTATTATATTAATACACAACACAATGCGTCAGTGGTTTGATTTTTAATTTTTTGCACTTTATAACACTTTTTGAAAACAAAAAAAAATAGACTTTTAGTTATATTTATAGTTTGGCTTATTCACTTCTAATGTAGTTAATATAAAATATAAATAATAATACAGTAAGAAACCTTAAAGATTACATTTTTCTAAGAAATTATCGTTCCAGCTAATCGAAAAGCTCCAGCGAAATCTGTCAATTATTTTACCTCACTGTAAAGTTGCGCCGCCCTGCTGGCAGAAAAAGTCGTAGATGCCCTCATTTTGGTATTGCTTTCTGTCTGTTCGTATAATTTCCTTACAATCGGTTCAGCCATTCCGAAGATTAACTCGAACAGACAGACCGACAGGCAGAGAGTCAGATATTTAAAAAACATGGCTAATAAAGTCTTAATGGCGTACGAATAACCCCCTCAATCCAATTTCAGGCATATATCTTTCGATATTATAGTTCAATTTTGTTTAATGTATAAAGTTTCACGCTTTAATAAAAGTAAAATTTGCGAGAATTCATCATCTGACTGTGGAAAACGCAATAACCATCTATTTTATGCAAAACTAAAAATATCCAGACAGGGGAACGACATCAAAGGTGGCGAGACGTATGGCACTGCGGTCGTCAATTCGCTTAGCCAGCGTGACGATTCAAGCAAACCCCTCTTGTGTCCTTACAGGCCTATATCTAGCAATAAAATTTTACGAGCTGATGATGGTAATGAAGAAGAATATCATATGTAAACCATACGCAAATATATTATGTTATTTTAATTATGACCTGATCGCAAACAAGACATATTAATTCAATCTCACCACTAAGGGATTGTACAAAGTCACTAATAGGATAATTTAAAATTAAAAATTTTGTACAGTGGACTTCAATATAAGTTATATAACTCAAAAACTATTGGTCTGACCTTGATCAAATTCATATGGGACCACACGAGAAATATCAGCTTTCATATAAAAAAAGAATCATCGAAATCGGTTCACCCAGTACAAAGTTATGAGGTAACACACATAAAAAAAACATACAGTCGAATTGAGTACTGTCTCCTTTTTGGAAGTCGGCAGAAAAGTAAATCAAAATAGTAACAGCGACTTTGCCAGCTGCTACGCTTTACTGGCAAAGGGGCCACCATTCCGAATAAAGTCCGCCATCAGATTACCTACACCAAAGGGTAATTCTACCAGTATAAAGCGCTTACCTCTCTACAAAAATTTTCTTAAGTATTATAAAAAAAACATAATGGCAGCCCTGAATAATTTAAATGCACTTGATGCTGTTTCCATATCTGTCTTCTAAGTCATAAATTCTAGTTAAGTCCAATCCGAATGCATTCGCTTAAGGCTACCGCTGAATTTATGGCATTGGTGTTATTATTTCTTCATTTCTTAGATTCTATTAAGAGAAATAATGTTATTGTCGATCATTTAACAAGTTTTCTTTGTAATAAGTTTAAAGAACCTTGTACACAGTGTTAATTAATTAAATCGAAATATTGTTACACATGTACCTTCGCGGCAAATTAACCTATTTATACCATATAGTGACATAATGATTATGTCCCGTTTGTGTCATATGAAGGAAACAGATGCTGTGGTCCATACTCATCTACATGTCTCCTCGAATAAGAATCAAAATGCAGATGCGTTGTGTGTCACCCCTGAGGACTAAGATGGAATGCCTCGTTTTCAGTAAAAGCCGCTGTTTTACGCAGGTATTCTGTAAGAGCGTACTTTGCGGTCGAGCCGATCATCATCTACCACCATAAAATAGTTGCAGGGTGTATATATTTAAAAGGTACTAGTATGAAAGCAAATTAACTTAGTTTGTGTACTACTCGTATGTAAGGCAAAAACTTATTACTTATATACTCGTAACTACTACTTATTATATAACTACTTACTATACCCTCAGCTAGCATCTCTAAATAGTATAAAACAAAGTCGCTTCCCGCCGTCTGTACGCTTAGTTTTTAAACTGCGCAACAGATTTTAATGTAATTTTCATATGTATGTATGTATATTATGGAATCATATTATCTTTATATATAAAAATTATGTGTCACGTTGTTTGTCCGCGATGAACTCCTAAACTACTGAACTGATTTCAATGAAATTTTGCACACTGTGCAGTTTGGTCCAACTTGAGAGATAGGATAGTTTTTATCCCGATAAGTGACCTTCAATATTTTTTATTACGAATTGAAGCATTTTTTATAGGAAGGGTCGTCGGAAAGGGCAGAACAACGTCTGCCTGGCCAGCTAGTATATTATATAATTTTTCTGTCCGTGTGTATGTGACTGAACTGCTCTTGAACTTGAAATTTTGTGTGTGTGATTAAGTTGATTAGAGAATG